ATATATATATATATATATATTTCTGCAAGCTTTTGGGCTTACACACTCTTCCTCAGGCTCAGGAAAAGTTGGTAAAAAGTCCCCATATGTAGGAAATAAACTTCATTTTTGCACAAAGGAAGCTTATGCTGGAAATCTGTCCCTCTGGGTATAAAGCTCTTTGAAAATCCTGGTCTTTACCTTTATCTTTTTCTCATATTTGATGACAGCTACGTGTAAAGTTAAGTGCTTTGGATTTCCAGCTGGGAGTTGAAAGGCGACCCTGGCCTTGATACCAAAGTGAAACTCAGATGTCTACCCAGTGAAGAGTAAAGGGCAAGCATGGATGGTCTCCTCCTGTTACCACTCTTATTCCACGGTGAGTAACTTTAGGAACCATCTCTGTGATGCAAAGCACTTGCAACGATACAGAGTGAGAGATCTCAAGACTTGCAGGGAATGAAAGGAAATTTGGAGTGAAATAAAAGACAATCCCTTCTAACGCAGGGCCAGAGGAGGGCAACTCCCGCTCTTCACAGTGGAGACAAGGGAAACTTCCCCGTCACAAGACACAGTTAATGATTCTGAAATATCGTGAAGGCTCAAGGCCCACGTGTCCATGGTCCTGCCTATCCTGCAGCCATTCATAGCCGTGCAGTGTGACTGCAAAGGGCAAATAAAAGCTTCCAGATCAGGACGGTATTTATACCTACTTGGCTTTGGTGTAAATGATCACATGAGGTATGAGGAACAGAGAATCAAACCCTGCATCTCTCATTAAGACCTGACCAAAACCTTACTGAAACCAATAGAAAGGAGGCAGATGCAATGGGCTGTAGAGTGCTTCTGCTTCCAGGAGTGGAGACCTCAAGGGTAGAAACACTTTACAGAGATGTAAAGGATAACACAGGATTACGTCTTCCTCTGAGATCTCCTTGTCACTAAATACTGCCCAGCTGCTCTGATCCATCCAGCTTTTGGCAGGTAAAACACCTGCTGGGATTGATAGGAGTCCTGCCTGCGAAAGGGCTGCATAATGCTTGAGCGGTAGATCAGGGTTTCTCCCTAGATGCTGCCACACAACGTGGATGAAGGATTTTATCCAAATCCCTTACCTGCCCAGGTACAGAGTAATAAAGCCTGGGAGCGCCAAGAAATGTGACTCTGCTTTACAGGAACTTTTACATCTTCCAAAATTAGTATTAAGCTGTCTGGGCCAAGTCATCAGTCTCACATTCGTGCTGCTGTGCTGGTTTATACCATCTGGCCAGCTATTTGGCTAATGCACTGTCTACATTTTTTTGAATGAACAGTTTCAGGTGCCATGAACGGGCCCCGGCTGTTGACGGCGGGGGTTGGAGAATCAGTCACCGTCCCATGTTTGTATCCAAAGACTCCAGCCAACAGACACGACCGGAAGTTTTGGTGTAAAATGTCAGCCACCAAAGTGTGCAACACCATCATTTCTACCAACAGTTACACCTCCGACGAGTACAAAAACCGAGCAGAAATCACTGACTTCCCTCATAACAGCACAGCCATGCTGCGAATGACCAACCTGAGGAAGAACGACAGTGGGATTTACAGATGTGGCATCGGCATTACCAACAGAGGCTTATTTATCAGCGTAAACCTCACGGTGTTGGACGGTACAGTAGCTGGATGCCTTCAGAGCCAACTGATTGCAAAATGTGTAGATTCAGGTCTCTCCTCTGAGCCTACACACCCAGACTTGGAAAACCCTCATGCCCAATTTATGGTGTTGGGAGCCACACGTTTTAGGGGTGGCTTACGATGACCTCAATCTAAGGCAACGGTTGTTGCATCAACTTTGCTTGGTCACGCTCTTCCTCCCCTTTGCTGAGAACAGTCATTTACTTGCGAGATTAGAAGAGAATTTCTTTTCTTTATGAAAAGTGCCCAGAGATTGACCAAAACTCACTCTTAGGAAACGTGGAAGGGCTAAGAAGGGAAGCTGCTCCAAGCTGCTCCTTACGGTGCTCTCTTCTGTTCTCTTCCAACAGATCCCGCCGTGCCAAAATCACCAGAGCTGGTGCTTGGGGAGCCCAGAGGATCAGTGACAATCCAATGTCCCACGGAAAACGTCAAAGGCAGTGAAAGGAGCTTTTGGTGTAGACTGGGAAAAAATGGCTGTTCTCTCATAGCAGACACGGACGGTTACGTGAGCAAGAATTACGACGGGAGAATCGTCATCACCCACCAGGAGAGCTCTGGGACTTTTAACGTCTTGATAAATGGACTAAAACCAGAGGATTCTGGGCTGTATAAGTGTGGGACAGGAACGCCAAGCGACTCCAGAGACACGGAAACCATAGACCTGCAGCTCACTGAAGGTAAGGCTGGGAAGAAAGAGCAGGTAATGATTAGGAGCTGCTCTAGGTCCTTATTTGCTGAACAGCATCTGCATTTGCAGCCATGTTCCAAAATCCAGCACATATTGGTTTTTCGGGGGGTAGGACTCAGAGCAGTTTGGGCTAAGCAGCTTACCCAGTTTCTTCTACACCTCCAGATTCAGCCATCCCCAAGCAATTGAGGCACTTGAGTGGAGTTGTAGGTGGCTCGGTGTCCGCTACGTGCCGCTACGATCCCCAAAAGAATTACGAGACGAAATACTGGTGCAAGTGGGAGAAGGCACAATGCAGCCTCGTGGTGGACACCCGTGGATTTGTAGATGATGCATTTAAAGGAAGAACAAGGATAGTCAGCGATAACCAGAGAAAAGGAACGTACACAATAGTGATGAGCCACCTGAGAGAAAAGGATGAAGGATGGTATTGGTGTGGGGCTAAAGGTGGAAACCCGGAGCAGACATCTTCTGTCATGTTATACGTCGAAAATGGTACGTGTTAAAGGGGTGATGGCCACAGTGGCTAAGAGCCTCTTCTTTCAGTCTCATTCTGCATTTGGTCCATCACCTCTGCAGGCACTAAGAAAAGACCCACTGTCCAAAAAGCTCTGCTTTGTACTCTGCCTTGGCCCATCAGGCATACCAGGCTAGCTCAGCAATGCCGAGATGTTTTGTAGAGCTTAAGGGGGAGATTTTTGAAGATGCTAATGAGAATCAGGAGTGTCAATGGAAGGGTCTAAGTGGCAGTGTCTCCCTAAGGAGAGATAATAGCATTCATTTTTCACTGCTTCTAATACAGCGGTGCCCAGAGCCCCGTCGGGGTTCGTTGTGCCCGGTTCTGTACCAGCACCCACACCGATGCAGTCCTGAAGCTAAATGTGAAAGCTGCATCTTCCAGCTTTGGGAGAACGATACTGGAAAGCATGCACTGTGCATTGCACCAGGACAGAGGCCAGGCATCAGACCAGCACAGGGCCAATCTTCTGTCCCTGCACTAAACGTGTGCTCTTTGTTGCAATCCTACTCTTCACTAGAGTCACAGACCTCTGCACCTGCCAGCCCCAAAACAGCCGCAAGAGCCAAAGGAGCAGCAACAGTATCAGTAGCAGCAACTACAAGTGCTAAAGGAGCAGCAACAAGGCCAGCAGCAGCATCTACAGGAGCCAAAGGAGCAGCAACAGTATCAGTAGCAGCAACCGCAAGTGCTAAAGGAGCAGCAACAAGACCAGCAGCAGCATCTACAGGAGCCGAAGGAGCAGCAACAGGGTCAGCAGCAACTGTAGCAGCAGCGACAAGAGCACACGGAGCATCAACTCCTGTCCTCCACAGCATCCCCAATCGCATAAACATCCCAGACCACACATACCCTGCACGCACAGGTACCGAGAAGCCTTTGGGAACAGCGACCACTGCCAGCAGACTTGTAACTTCCAGTCAGGAAGCCCACAGCGAAAGGTAAGACCCCGAACAAGCATGGCCCACAGGATACATGAGTGCCTTTGGATTTGGCTGAAATCTTCTGGTACCCAGGGAAGAAAGGCTAATTCCCATCTAATTCTGCAATCACTGCGCTCCTCTCTCATAAACTATGCAGGACGAGAAAAGAGACAAGTCAGAGGCAGGCATATATCATTTGTACAAAGATGACTAGATAGATCAGGAACTTCGCTTGTCCAGTCTCCGAGGATGAGAACAAGGGGACATTGGCAGTGATTAAAAAGGTGGCAAGTTCAGAATTGGAAGCAGGAAATATTCTCTCGCCCCAGGTATAATCACCCCGTGAAACTCACTGCCGGGAGCAGAAGCTGAGGCCAAAGGGAAGGGACATTTTAATGGGATAAAGAAACACCTGGAGTACCAATGGCTGATGCTCACAATATTTATAAGGGATACCAGCTCTATTGCTACAGGGCTGAATCCAATCTATATATTAGTAAGCAAGAGAAGAAATAACAGGTCAAATGATCCATATTTGCCTTTGGAGCCATTCTTGTGCTTTCTTCTGAACTAGCTGGTGCTGGCTGTGTGGCAGGCCAGATTCAGGGCGAGATGTAGCGCTGCCCTCTGATCTTGTATAGCAAGCCTTGTGTCCTCGTGCTCAAGCCTGGGAAAGAAAATCTCTCAGGACACATTAGCACTGCAGGATGCGATGCTGGCGATTCAGCAGCCACCATACTACCTTCTGGGCCGCAAGTCAGTAATCCTTACCCCCAAGGCTGAGGGGTGAGCCCGAATAGGCCAGGCCTTTGGAAGATTTACATAATTTTTGTCAGTGATGACCTTATGTCACTTTACTACAGGAGCAGAATTGCTAACTCCAGGGACCGAGCTGAGATCCTGCCTCCCTACCTTCCTGTATGCTTTAAACTGAGTGCAGTATTCTTCTTCGCTTCCTCTCCTAAATGGTTATGTAGCATTGCCGTGAGCTGCTGTTGCAACGCACCACACCAGATGTGGCTGCAGCGCCGCAGCAGGGGAAATGATCCTTCCTGTGCTTTACATGCCTGTCAGTAAAGAGCTCTGGGACACCGGCATATGCTAGGGGTGAAGGGAGACCACACAGCCTACAAATACTAGTGACTAGTACAGCCATATCCCACAACACATCGCTGTGGCTGCCTCCCTCAGACCTGTTGCCTCCTCGAACCCCAGGCACCAGAGACAATCGTTGCCCATTACAAAACAAGCATTAAGTTGTTACCTAATCAAGAGCCAGCTTTCTAGGTAGTAGCAAGCCCAGTGCATGCCCTGGGGATTTGCAACTCTGGGCACTTCCAGCTTGATGGCCCCTATGGGGTTTTGCAAGAAGACACTCCACCAGCACGGTGATGGGAGGCATACAAACCTAGGCAGACCAAGCAGGAACCCAGCCTGGAAACTGGGAGGAACCCATTTCAATTTTTAAGGGGGCAATTCAACCAAGCACTATAAAACCCCCGGAGTAGGGCACAGTACTAAGTCGCTACAGAAATTACTTCCTCATGATCAAAACCTAGATCGAATGATTTACTCTCAGCTTGACTTTGTTGACTGTTCTTGGATTGGGAAAGAAAGTTTATGACCCTTTTATTTTAACACTCTTCCATGTAAAAACCAAGCCTTTGTTCAAGTGCTTTATGTGCCTCCTACATGGCACAAAGTCCCACATAACTCTTACGGTTTATCTTTGCAGTTCATCAAGCGGCTCACCGTTCCTTTCAGCTGTGTTACCAGCTCTCCTGGTGCTGCTGCTTCTTGCTGGTATTGTCGTCCTTATTAAAGTAAAGCTGCAAAAGAAGAGTAAGTCCAACGGGCAACACCCTGGGGGTGGCTTGGGGTGCTTTCCACATGCTGTACTTTTAAAACTCGGACGAGCCACCACGTTTCCAGAGACGAGCAGCCACTTTGTAGTGAGTTTTGTGTAGGCCGCCAGAGAAGAAACCTCCACCGTGCGTTCTCTCAGAGGCCCCCTGGTATCGTTGTTTCTGGTCATAAATCTTACACATACGCATCATTTACACTTAAAGAAAATTCACTCTTTGCATGTTGAAAAATCATAAGTTTTATGGTTCCATTTTGCTTGGGAAACTCAGAGCATAAGCGTTTGATGCTGCACTCCTTCGAGGCTGAGTCCCTATTGCACACTACTGTTCGATGGGAGCATATTCAGCCTCGAAGGAGCGCAGCATCAAATGCTTATGCTCCGAGTTTCCCATCGAACAGTAGTGCGCAATCGGGACCAAACCATTGCTCTCTGTTACAGATCTATGCCAGAGCAGCTTCATCCCTGATGGTACAAAGATTGACCAGAATAATCACGGTTAAGCACTGATTTTCTTTACTGGGGGTATGGGCAACTCCATGCCCTGAACATGTGGCTAGTTCTTATTGTAGAACAATAATATTTATTGGGAATTTAGAGACAGAGCGAGGGAGCGAATGTTAATTAATACAATGTCTGGAAGAGGGATCCCAGCTTTATATACCAGCAGAAGCTGTAGGCCTAAACCCACGGCTGCTGAAATCAGCGGGCGTCTCCGTATGGACTTCAGCAGATTTTGGAACAGGCCCTAAGTTGTATCTTTCTTTTAGGAAACGCCGGACAGGCCGGGAGGAACCTTGAAACTGCCCCCATCTTAATTGACTTAAAGGAACTTCAAAAGAATATGACAGAGGATGACGTGCGAACAACCAAGTGGAAGCTGAGCCTTCAAAAAAGTAGGTTTATACCCCGTATTCAACTCCCAAGTTAGAAGAATTTGTACACATAATAAATAAAGGCTCAGTCACTGGAGTGTCAAGTGCACCAATAAAAAATAGAGGTATTTTTCATATGCAAAATAATTCAGTGAAGTTACTGGGGAAACATCCACATTTCAAACATTTTCCAACACCCTGCAAATCCATTGAACAAAACCCAGCTAACTGTTCTGTTGAAAACTGGCATTGAAAAGTTCAAGCATTTGAATTTCTCTCTCTTTCCCCCTTTTTTTAAACCAGCTCTAGTGGTTGGGAGCCGTGAAAATGTTGCATTTTCCCAACTCCTCATTCGGGTATTGATATATTTTTAAAGTCATCTCCCCAGAATCTCCCCATCACCTGAGGTTTGGGGGTTTTGCTTTTTGTTTTGTTTTTTTAAGAAGGACCATAAAGAACTCAACTCCCATTAATTCAGCCGGGGCCGAATGAATGTCCTTTGACTTTCGTGAAAGTCCCAACTTTAGCATCTAGCTGGATATTTTAGGATTTCCCTATCACTGTAGGTAGCAGAGGATCTCTCATACTAATATGTGGCTTTCCCCCTTCATCTACATATTATATATATGAAATGTGAAATGTATTGGACAGCAAATTCTCTGCAGAGAACGGCAGGAATGTAGTTGCATGCCACGGGTGTGCAGGATCATGTTTTATATCTGATATTGGTTTGCTCATATATAATACCTAAACAATAGCCCCACAGAGCAGATATCAGTTTTGCAGTGCTTATCCAGGAGTATAGTTTCGGGACCTGAATGAAAAATCTGCTCTCTCCTTTCCTGGCCTCGTGAAGTGACTTTGGCTCATGGATTTCAACAGAATTGGAGGGCCCTTGTTCAGTTTACATGTTTATTGTTGCATTGATTCTATTGTGCTCTTTCAAAGCTTCCGATTTATCTCACTTCCTGCTCCAGTCATTTTAATAATATTTGATTGCTTGTGACCTATTCCAATATGACAAATCAGCAATTCTTATTTATTGCATTGCAATCATTCCTTTTGCTCTCGTTCTGCATGCAGAATATTCTGCACCACTACTGCAGGATCCCGAGAGAATAGGTCATGTGCAACTCCCTGTTTTTCCAGCAACGTAAAACAAACACGGGGTTTTCTTGGAATATTCATAGCCTTGGGTGTAGGCTTGCCAAGGAAACAGCTGAGCAAACTGAAATATTTTAAAGAACTGTTGGTTTGAGGCATTTGATCTCAGTGAAGTTTATGCCTCAACTTCGAGATGCAACCAAAACACATGAAAACTTACAGTGCATTTGAAAAATGTGATGGCATTCAGTGTCCCGTCTGCAGAATGTTACAAACTAATTCTCTCCAATGGTGTAAATCAGTGGTTTTCAATGTGTGGTCTCTGGACCCCTGGGGGTCTGCAGACTAGGTCTAAGGGGTCCATGAAAATAGGTGCTATAACATTTAGTGACAATTAGGCAATGAAACAAAAGATTTGAAAATTTAGTGTAGGCTCCCAGAGGAGAAAGCTACACTTAATTTTGGTCATAATGTCTGAGATCTGGAACATGCTGCACAGAGTAGAATAGCCTTGAATAAAACCTTACAGGTTCAGGACATTTGTTCAGACTAAAATAGTGTGTCTTAAAAAGGGGCGTCTATTTTATCTAATATTTAGGTCTTCAAAAAAGTTTCTCTTTATAACTATGACTCTGGGGAAAGAAAATGTGATCATAAAAGTAACAGTATTTCACAGCTTTTCAGGAATCTAGAAAGTGAAAAGAGGGTTTTTTTGTTTCTTTTTAGAGCTACCCGCTGATTTTGGGGGGCCCATAGTAAGACACCTGGACAAGGCCTGAGGACAACTGCTCAGTACTTTCTGAAAACAGGCACCCTTGAAAGTGGCTTATGTTAGGCACCTGGAAATGCAACACTGAAAAATATGTTAGCCAGAAACAATGCCAGGGAATAGTGACGTTTTGCTCTGTTTCTTTTCTGTTTCAGGTGTCCTATGAAGAAAGAAATGTTGTTTTCTCAGCTGCATCTATCAAGACTCAAGGGAGAACGATCAGGGCTCCCTTCCTTTCCGAGGCTAGCGTACATAAGCCTAGTAGCCAACTTAAAAATATATGTACATCACATTGCATACTGCAGAGCAGACTTTTTAAGCTTATTTCCATTTCAAAAGACTGCATTTCATTTAATACATCGTGATAACTGTGCTTTTGTATAATAGATGAATCTTGGGCTGATAAATGTCATTTATAGGAGAAGTGTTTGTTAAAAAAAAAGAATAAAGCAACGTGCTATAGCCAAATCTTTCTACAGGCAACTTTTATTGCGTGGCACGTCTGTCTTCAAAGGAAGGCAGGACATTTGCAGTTGAAGGCTATGGCTAGGGGATGGCATGGAGAACACGGATGCATCCATGGGGCACATTACCTATAAATATTGTGTGTAGGTGGCAAACTTGAGTACACAAGCAGGTGAAACGCCGTTTATTTGCCTTAGCATTAGGCAAAACCTAAGGGGTGGCTTTGGTGTTTCGAAATCCTCATCCACCTTGTTTTTTGGGCAAAACAGAAACCAGATCAGAGGTTCGGCATCTCAAAGGCACTCGAGTTTCCGGAGACCTAAATAAGAGACCTTGGTTTTAATTCATCTCCCGTGCTCAGTTCCCCCAAGTTTCACGGAGTGACTTCAAAGCGCCCAGCTCAGACACAAGCAAGGGCTGAGCTGCTGCCGGGCCAAGCTGCAGGCTGGGCTGTGCACAGAGAGCCAGTCGCTGGGGGTTGTTTGTGCTCTGGAGATGCCAAAGTGCTTTGGAAGACTGCGTCTTGGCAGGAAGACATTTCCTTGTCTGTTAAAACATGCAAATATATTGGTGAAATTCGACTGGGGTCAGAGACAATGGCTCACCTTCACTGGAGATTTTAGAAGTGGGAAGTGGTGGGGAGGAGGGCAAATAGTTTCAGGAAACAGGTGTAGAGGACAGTCCCTCATACCAAAGTGTTGTCACGTGGCTGTGCAGGATAATCACAGGCCTCCCTGGGTTGGCTTCCTGCACTGAGCCTTCTCTGGCCCTCTGGTGCACCTCCCTCCCCACTAAAGGCCAAATTGCTGCTGGTTGCAAACTATTAAATCACTCACGCTCCTTGAACAAACTAATTTTTAGAGTGACACGTGGGAGTGCAAGCACGCTGCAAGATCCAGAAGGGCAAGGCTGCTTGGGAATGGCCTGGCCGGTGCTACGGAGGACTCTGCTACTTCTCCAAGGCCCAACACATGGATCCTGATGGGTCTAATCTGCTGCAAGCTACTGCCTAGGGAATAGATTAACCTTACAGTGAGGGCTAGGCTGTTCCTTGCAGGTACAACCCTATTGTGTGGCAGGTAGGCTGGTGTCTGATCCACGGGGAAGGGCATTTCCCTTCTCCAGTTCAACAGGACTGAGACCCAACAGCCTCCCAAACAATACAACTCGTACCCCTCCAGGCAGGAGAAGTTTCCCAAAATGGGATTCTGTTAAGACTTTTAGTCTACACTCATGACAGAAGCAGTATGGTCCTCAAATGAAGCTACAGGTGTGTGCACCACTGACAAGTGTGCACCACCATTTAGGTCTTGAGCTAAAGGCACCTTCGTGTGTCTTTCAGCTTGATCCTTTCTTCACCACAGCTAATTAATATATTCATAGACTTTAAGGTCTAGAGGGATCACAATAATCATCCATTCAGTCTGGCTTCCTGGATTACAAAATGTCAGTGTCAAAACTTATAAATGCTTGGTTGAGTTAGAACAGAGCTGTAAAGTGATGTATCCTGGTATGTTAAAAGCCAGAATCATTTGTCTTTTCAAGTTGCAGAGAGGGAATTTTTTTCATGCCATCTTATTACCGAGAAACAGCTGCAGAAAATTCTAATGTAAAGAGACAAAACGCCCTGAAAATGGAGTACTTTAAAGAACTGTGAACATTTTTTCATTAACTGACAAAATGCAGCTCTTCTCACATGAGAAATACATTAAAGGTGTTTTGAAGGTTAAGAAAAGATCTCCCCATCGATGTCCCCCTCCAGGTCTTCACTGAGGTGTGTTAGCAGGGAAGCAGAGGCAACATTAATGCTGTTATCTGCATTTGTTCTGCTGGTAAAGAGAGGACTACAGGGCTCCAGATAAATGGGCAAATGCCCTCGGTGCGGCGCCTCACAATTGTTCTCTCTCTAAAGAGCTGAGATTTCCACACATGTTACATGCAAGAATAAACCCAGTTGCATGCCGTAGGGAACTGCGTGGAGCTCGGCTTGCAGAACTGAAACTAAGGTGCTTCTATCACCCAGAGTCTTGGGGGGGGGAACCAAGTATACAGAAATATGCAGACATATATAAAATGCACTCCTCTTGTCTGGAGAGAGTAACCGAGCTATATCAGGACATTTTGCCTGGAACTTCGTGGAAGCAAGGCTTTTTAAATGAACTGCTAAAATGGTTTTTGCATTGTTAATCTATGGATAAAGCAATGTAATGCCTGATCCTTCACCAAGGGCTAATTTGTCTTCACTGGCCTTAGTCTGCTGTGCAGCTGGGTGTCTGGTCTCACTGGACTCAGCATGGGATCTTTACCTGACGCCTCCTTCCCCGGCGGGGCAGCAATGGGGGCACTTCGGTAAAGATGGCAGCAGGGCTCATTTGGTATTTGTCTTTTGGGACACACTGTCAGTGTGCTCGGCGCCATACAGGATCTACCCCTGCCTGCTTATGCTGGAAGGCCCCAGGTTCTGCCAATTGGTCTCTGAGGGTGGAAAAAAAGCAGAATGACATTGGTTTGCAAAGAACAGCAGCAGCTGTCAAGCAAACTGAGCTTTCCTAATTCCCTCCGTACTGAGCTGAGAGGCGATAAAGCACTGGGAGCCGACCAGCAAGACCGACTACCCAGCATGAGCACCAAATACTCATCCCATGATCTCTTAAGTTCCTCAACCTCATATGAAATCCTGAGCTGCCACAGCTGTGGCACATGTATTGTGGCTCCCCCTGCTCTCTTCTTCCCCATCTCCTGTTGTAGTCTGATTTCACTTCACAGTTTTTGGTCTGGGGCTGCCCTATTAATAGCACTGCTCATTGCTGCACTGTAGCATCATGACTTCAGAGGCAAAAAATGCTTATCCCTGCAGTCTCAGAGCTACCCCCCCATGCACATATACACACACAGAAGGATTGGAGCTGTGCGGGTGACAACTGCAGTGATGTTAGGTGAAAATCAGTCGAATGATATATCCCATGACTGGTCAAGCCAGGACTGCACCTTCCTTGCTTCTGCATAAGAAAACATCCA